GTGAGTGCCCTAGAGTTCAATCCCTGGGTACCAAAATAAAACATAAAAACCTTTATTGTTTTATTTTTATGTGGTGCTGAGGATCGAACCCAGTGCCTCATACATGCAAGGCAGGCACCCAACTGATCTATATCCCCAGCCCTGCTTCCATTCTTAACAGCTCCAGGTGCATGTCAGTATACAGTAGCATTCTGTGCCTCTGTTCTGCATCTTCGAGGCCTTACCTAACAGGGTTCGGGTTTTCTTTGTTCTTATGCAGCTGTGTGCCCTCCAGTATGTGAACATGCCACAGTGGGAGCAACCCAGTCCACTGCTGCTAGACCCTGGGCTGTTTCCTGTCTTTTGCTATTAAAATCAGCACTGTAATGAGTAGTTTTATACCCATCTTTTCTTTCTTTTTGCCAGTTCAGTTTTGGGATACATTCTAGAAATTGCTTGGTCAATGTGCAATTGTAAATGCATCTTTGCTAAATATTGTTTGGTTTCTTTCCATGGGGTTGTTCCAAGACTTTGAATCAAGTATATTGTCAAATATTTTGGGTTTTGCTAGTCTGAGGGGAAATGATTTCATTTTGCATCTTGTGAGTGAAGCTGAGCACCTTTTCATGTTTGAGGACGGCTATAGTTTGTTCCTGTCAAAATTCATGTTGGGGCTTAGTCCATGGGGATGGTATTGAGAGGTTGTGGGGTCCTAAAGAGGTAATTAGGAGCTGGGGATATAGCTCAGTGGTATAGTACCTGCCTAGCATATGTGAGGCCCTGGGTTCCACACATGGTTATTAGAGCTCCACCTTCAAGAAGGAATTCAGGTAGCTTCCCTGAGGGTACATCAGTTATCTCCAGAATTGGTGGTTATAAACCCAACCTGCACCTCCCCTCCCTCTCTTTCACCATGTGACCTCTCTTCTAGATGCTCTGCTTCCACCATGTGGCCTCACCAGAAGCTGAGCAGAAGCTGGTACCATCCTCTTAAGAGCTCCTGGGCAATGAGCCAAAATAAACCTGTTTCCTTTTAAATTATCAGCTTTGGTTATTTGGGTATAGTAACAGAAAACAGACTAAAACAAAAGCTATTTGTTTATTTTCTGCCTGTTTTTCTGTAGGGATCCTGGTCCTTTCCCCTCTTTTGTTTAAGAAGTGCTGTTCTCTGCCTGTGATATGAGTTGCAGGTATTTTTTTTAAAACCCTATGTTTTCCAGGTACAGTGGCATATGCTTGTAACCCCAGCTACTCAGGAGGTTGAGACAGGGGAATCCCAAGTTTGAGACCATCCTTGGCAACTTAGTGAGATCCTGTCTCAAAATAAAATGAGGGGTTGGGGTTGTGGCTCAGTGGTAGAGTGCTCATTTAGCATGTG